TTCAAATTTAATAATCAGAAAACATAATTTGATTTATCATTGTTAAAAAGTTCTAACTTCAGTAACTTTAAAAGTTAGGAACGTAACTTCCTTTCACCGTTTTTCAATTCCAAACACTTACTTCTATAGGAAACATTTAGTTGACAACCACGATAGTGAATAAAACTCAGAAAAAGATCTAAATTCCTTCCACATCCTACGCTAGGATACTACAATTTTAAGTTTTTTGGAATAATTATCAGTTTTATTCATTGACAAGGTCTAAGAACAACGACTGTCACTACAGTAGTTAAGACCTTCACCCAATTTGACATGTGCCTAGGGACTTGAACTATCGGAAGTATACAAAAATGACCTTTGACCCAATTTCGACAAGGTCGTATAAATATAATAACTCTCTAGAGCGTGGAAGTAACATGTATCTTACTCAAACGTCATCCTTGAAAATCCATCCATACTAAGACGGGACACCATTTTGACACGTGTCGAGGCATTGACCCGTCAACAACAACAGGGGCGTGATGCTATGGGATATAATAGGATTACGACAGAGGACGTGTTGCTATGTACACGTTGCTAAGTAGTATAATAGGATTATGTCAGGGGCACATTGATCTGGGTGCAATGCTAGGTGACACAGATGGCGCATTACTAATTTTTTTCATTCGATTTATAATTAATTATCATGGAAACTTTCTGGTGACGATATTGTCAGAGTGATATGTAGAAGATTGTAATCTTCTTGTATCATGATAATCTTGTTTGTAGATCGTATGATGAAACAAAACAAATCTCATGAAAATACTTTTTTTGTTATACTGATATAGAATACAGTTACTTAATCTTATACATTTTTACAGAGGAAGTCAGATAGTTCTTGAATAAATTCACCACTTTCAACAAAATCAATGGGATTTAAATTCTTACAGTTACGTATATCTTGAAACATATCTAATATAATGTTCTTATCCACTTGAGTCAAAGCAGACCACAAATATAGCCAGATACCTTCATCATGATCCAACATCATGCAAGTATGAGCAGTTTGACTGGGATCATGGACTTGAACCCAGCAATTCTCCTATCTAAGCCTTTGTATGACAGGGGATACATGTTCAATGTATACTTTGAATTATAATTCTTAAAATTATAATTGATGCTATTAGATGTAGTTTCTGATTCTGTTTGTTTTATTAGATTTAGATACGAGTCAATAAAATGGACCTGTTCACATAACTGATACCATTCAGACTTTATGAAAGCTATAAGACTTGATATATAATTGTTAATATTATATTGGGTCACCTTTTTTTTGACTCATCACTTACACCGCTAATAATATGTTTATGATGATCCAGACCAAAGTTCTCACTGTATTTCATATCTAAGGCCCTAGACACAGATGGTATCAGTTGTGTAAATTATTGTCATTCAATATTCTACGCCTTCTTTGGTGGGGTATAACTACCTCTTCCATCGTCTCTATATTAACGAATGTGTATCTTCACTTCATCGTTAAATACAACAATCGCGATGTACCTGCCATGTCCCAGTAGATATTGACGAGATTTTTCAAGTGGCTCATCTCTCCTGAAGAGATATGATGATGATTCACATTGCTGCACCATGATTGAGTTGGGAAGTTTACTAGATACATGTTACAGAAAATAATAATAAATTTGAAACATGTCTTAGGTGTAATTAATATATATTTATTGGATATCAATAAGATCGGGATATGTATAAAATAACAGTGAAGAGAACAAAATTTTTAACAAGGATTAATCTTACCTTTGTGTTTTCCGTAATGTAGTAGAAATTCAAAGTTTTCTATTTTTCTCTCTCTTGGACTTTTTGTAGATAGAATGATAATAGATAGATTTAATGAGTTTTTTATAGCTCATTTACTAGTCTAAGGTTAGGCTTTATAGAACACATGATGTTTCAGTTGTTAGGTCATACTTACACAATTTTTGAACTTGTATAATTTAAGATATTTGAAACGACCTCTATTGTATGTAAGTACAAGGCTGAAAACAAAACTCCCTGGGACATAACCTTGTCAATTTTCTGTATAGGCATACAACACAATAACAGATAATAATGATAGGCATGGTTTTAAAAAGAGCAGTTGTGTAGGTATGACCGAAAAATGACATGTGTTTTATAAAATTTCCTTACATTGTGTCTAACATATACAATTTAAGAGTTTCCAAAAGACCTCCAAGTAAGTTTATACTATCAAAGTGTATAGCACTTGTACTTAACCACAGATACAATACAACTAATAACTATAGTCAGGTAAGTATACAGTGATTAGACTACATGCAACACTCTGAAGGTGTTATATCCAATGTGCTCATAACAGTGGTGAAGTTAAAATCTTAAATTATAGTGTTGGTGGCTTCTCTAAGGAGTGTAACCATATATATATATATATATGAATTTTACGGGTGTTTTTTATCACGGGTGTAGTTTATGTTATGATCCTGACACAATGAATGTTATTCTAAGTAGGCCCATGTGGTTTGTTAGAAAACATACATTAAGCAGGCAACATAAACTAG